ACTATCTTGTCTCATTCTACTTTAGTTTTCATATGTCTACGCTTCTGAAATACTTATGAATAGATTGTTGACAGTGTTGTAGGCTATAAGTAGCTTTTGCTTGGACTTTCCTTTGCCAATTATTCCTTACATTTAATCTATACCTCCGTCTTCATTATAAAATAACTTTTCTTGGGTTTTTTCACATTATTACTCTGTAGATATAATTGACTAATTTGTCTGAGAACATTTTGCTTAAGATTTTTATGAAGGCTGTCTTTTATACGTGATATACATGTGAACCTATTTTTGCCTTTTCTTCCATTTTTCATACTGTATAAAAATGAACATAGAGTTTGTTTTAGAAGGATACCTTAAACAACAAAAAATAAAGTCAATTCCAGTTCATAGGGACCCCATAGTCCAGGGCATAACTTTAAAAGAGTAGAAAGCTTCTCTTTCTCCTGCAGAGCTACTGATGGATTTGAACTATTGACTTTTCAATAAGTAGCCCGATTGGTAACCCACTATGCCACCAGGGAATTGTGTTTATTTCATCCAACATTGGGATTGTATCAAAGTGATGCCTTAAACTCTCCCATTAAGTTTTTATCTCCTATTCTGAATGATCTAAGAGGAGCATAGATTACAGAATCTATAAAATGCAAACTGAAATTATTTCTCCTAAAGAGACTAACATAATAACATCCCTGTAGTTTTGTTTAATAATTGAAGGTCAAGATCTATTTGGTTCTACAGGTCATTAAGAGGGCAATGACTGACTCTCAGCAATATTACATAGTTCGAACTATCCTAGTTAAAGGAAAATTATTGTGTAAAAATATAAGCCATTTAAAAATGAAAATATCTATACTATAAGGAAGGGTTTTGATTAAAATCAAAAGCATTTCTCATCAATGGAAGCAATATAATAATGTATGAGAAATTGAATAAGGAAAGTAAAAACGTAAAATGGCATTTTGTAAAAGCACAGACGTGAAAGTAGAATGAAATAAGAGAAATAAAAGATATTAATCCACCACACCAGAATTATTGAGGAATACCAGAGAAATGGATAGTAGATGCAGATTTTCATTTTGAAGTTTTCTTCTTTCTTTTTTGAAAACCCATTGATTTTAAATCTAATATTCCTATTGTTGGGAAGAGGAGGAATTTTTCTAAGAAACTGTGTTAATATAGATTTATTATTGTATAATTTTATTTTTGGTTGGAAACCAGAAAAAATGATCATTCATCTGACTTGGATATGTAGGAAAAAGATCTTGGTGGTTCTCTACATTAAAGTAGTAGTATTTTATGTATTCGTTTAGTAATTGATCATTGAAAGTCTTATTGCCAACAGATTGTCACAAATGTAAGAAATACCATTCATGGATTCAAAAAGCTTCATGGGCGGTCATTTGATGACCCCATTGTGCAAACTGAAAGGATCAAGCTTCCCTACGAACTACAGAAGATGCCTAATGGAAGTGCAGGAATTAAGGTGGGCTTTATAGATGTCTATTCCCAGAATGGAAACATAGCTTCAAATTAAATCAAGTGATAACATAAAGATCACCTATTTGTAGTTTATACTTCATTGAACACTTTAGAAGATTTATGCAGGTCAGAAAGAGAACTTTGTTTCATGAATTTTATCTCTGTAAATCAGTGTTATTGTTGTTTTTGTTGTTGTTTTCTAAATTAACAACATAATTTTAAACTAGATAGTGAACCGCATCTTTGTTCTTTGCCCTCGTTAGGTGTCTTCCAGTCCTTTCTGACTTATGGGGACCCTATGAGAACTCAATGAGACTGTGGCACAGCCCGCACCATCCTTAACAGTGATTACATTTGAGCCAGTGTTGCAGCCACTGTGTCCATCCATCAATTTCCCTTCCTCTTTTACACTAACTCTCTCATCTGGAATCTTGCCACATCAGCAAGGGGATGTCCAGTTGTCTACAGAAGGGCTTTGGGTCTCCATTCCCC